GAGAAGTTGCAAATTTTTTTATTTGCTTTAGTGAAAAACCAAATTATTATTTGTGTGTCTGTATTTATTTTTATTTTGTATTGTCTATATTTTTATAATTGTATTTTTACAGGCCAACGTGTTGTATCTTCAGTAATTAGTGGTGAGAGAGACCAAACAACAACTGTTATACTAGCTTTTAATTGTGTGGGACACTACATACCTCCTATGATTATTTTTAAAAGAAAACGGATGCTAGATTCATTGATTGATGATGCACCACTAGGTACAGTTGGACGCTGTTCTAAAAGTGGTTGGGTAGATACAAATTTGTTTATGGATTTTATAAGACACTTTGTAATATATGGAAATTGTAGCACTGCAAATAAGTGTTTGTTAATTCTTAATGGTCACAAATCACACACCAAAAATCTTGATCTCCTCAATTATGCTAGCATAAATGGATTGCATATTTTATCACTACCACCACATACATCCCATAAGCTCCAACCACTTGATCGAACTTTATTCAAATCTTTGAAAAGTGCTTATAACTTAGTATGCACAACATAAATGAGAAAGCACCCAGGAAGAAGAATTACAGTTGATAAACTTTCAGGACTATTTTGTCAAGCTTATGTGAAAGCAGCTACAGTGGAAAATGCTATATCTGGATTTCGACTAACATGCATCAATCCTTTTAATCGAGAAATCCTTCCTGAGTCAGATTATTTTGAAAATCCATGTTTAAAAGATAGTAATACAAACATAATATTTAATGAAATAGCAGATATAAATCCTGAACAATTATCTACAACTAATTCTTTAATTGGGCCGAACCAAAACTCGAATGTTCAAACATCCATCGCTAGCTTTTCAGTTAATAAAATAAATGCCTCGTTGTCAATTTCAAACTCTCAACAACTTTCTTTCACTGATATATTATCAATTCCAGCTATTGAAGTGAAGACAACAAAAAGAAAGGGAGAGAAGTCAGAAATTTTGACAAGCACATCGTATAAAGAAACTTTGCAGGAGAAGTTGGTAAACAAAAGTTAAATACAACAAAAAAAGACCATCAGAAAAAAAGATTAAACTAAAAAAAGATGATGAAATTAAATTTGGAGAAAACCAAAAAATATCAGAGTCTAGCCAGAAATGTGTCCAATGCTTTAGGTGTAAATTATGGTACCATGAAGTTTATTTTGTTAAGTTAGGGACAGATTTTTTGTGTAAACTGTGTGTGTGCCATGATTATATTTAAACATTCTATGATCCATTACTTTATGTTTTATAGGGTGGTGCTTAAGTTTGAATATGTTTAATATTTTTGTTTAATATTATCTATGTTTAATATTTAATCTCTAATTTTAACCTATGTTTTCTTAATGTTAACTGTGGTTAGATTAACTTAACTGTGGTTAGATTAGCCAAGCAGGTTAATTTTTTAAGCTCAAGTTACTATATTTTTTATGAATTATATTTAACATTTTTTATGATAAAAAATAATTGGATAAGTCTCTTATTTTTTTTCTTTAGCTGCATAACTTATGCTGTCTCGTTTTGCCCCGTAAGGTGGGGAACATGAGACACGCTGTTGCTATTTATAAAATCCTCTGTGTATCCAATTAAAAATGAATTTAAAAATTTACTTATAAGTTTTGAAAAGAAGTTACCCTAAGTAAGATTTACTGTACTCTTGTTTAGTTTTTTGCTTAATTCCAGGTCTATTTACATAATTTTTAATCCTTAAGTGTCTCGTACTGCCCCGAAATACCCTATGGACGCACGTCCGACGTCTTACGAACGTCTTTGAGACAATCATATTTACTAGGGCGTCCTTGGGACGTCTTATTTTAGGTTTTATTTGTTTAAATGGGGTTAAAGTCCGTGGTTTATGACTATGCCATACAAGTTTTTATTAATAATGCTAATTAATGAAGTTAGAATTCTCTTTTGCTACAGAGAAAATAATTAAACAAATAAGACAACAATAATCTAATAATATTTATTTGCAAAAATAAATTCTCCGAAAACATGTACAAAACAAAATAAGTTTAAAATATTATTTATCAGGGTCTTTTGTCTATTTGTTCAAACTTCCAGGCTTATTTCGAATAGCTCTTTTGAGTCACCAATATTTAAGTCTTAAAAAAATAAACTTATATCCTTTGTCAAGTTTTTTGAAGGATTCTAAAAATAAAAATAATAAACTTTTGAATTAAAATATATTAATAACTTTAATTTTTAACATAATCAAATTGTAAATATATTTTTAATTGTATAATTTTGTAAAATTGTATATATTTTAAATATGTTTATGCAATTTTTATATCATTTTAAATGCATCTACTTATTTACAAATTTTTGAATTGTATTACCAATTTTACACAAGCTGTTCATGGCTTGTGGTAATATTATTCAACAATGCACTTATTGAAATTTTTGGTTGTTACATAAAGCCCCTTTTGTGAAAAGAGAATTGCAATGAAAAACGAGGAATAGTCAAGGAATTCACATGTCTGCAAAAAGTATCTGTGACTTTTTTAAACTAAATTGGAAATTAAAAATATACAGAAAAAACCTTTAGATAGGGCAATAATATCTAATTTATTATGCAAAGTATTTTTAAATAGTAAAATACCTTACAACTATCCAAAGTGTCAACAACATAACATTATTAACATAGAAAATGTAAATTAATTAAGAAGGTATTTAATCTCATAGTTATTTAAAAAAGGTATTTGTTGCATGTAATAATACAAAAATTTTAATTACCTTTATATAACAATAGGTTTTATTTTGAAGTTTTACTTCCTCTATATTAAACTCTATTAATGAGCCTAAATGTCTTCCACTCCAACATTTGTATCATGTTCACCACTATCAATCAGAGATGCTAATGTATTTATAATCTGGGTTTGATTATCTTCTAATTTTTTCATTTTCATAAACACAACATATTGGAATCTAAAAAAAAGACTAATGATTAAAAGTACTCATATGTATAATTAATTTGATTATTGCCAGACTTATCTTCTTTATATAGGTTACAAAATGTGGGAGTACAGCAGTTTTTTCTTTATCTTGTTTTGGAATAATGACGATAATGTGAAGTCAAGAAACTCTTCTTGAGAGTGCTTTTTATTTATATTATCTTTAAAGGCTCCTTCTTGTTTTATGATTTCCTCAACACTTAAACCTGACTTATAGTCGGAGGATTTTTTTTTGGCAATACTAAAAAAATATACAACTATAAAACCCTGGACAATTATCCAATTGTTTATTAATTAAATTAATAAACAAAGGAAAAAAAAATTGCTGAATATTATACAATATATTAGTGGTAAAAGTTATGTAAAAAACTTGCTAGACACTATAAGAGTTTTTGAATTAAAGAAGAAAAAAAAAACACAAGTACTGCTGACCCATACCAAACCCTCAGTCGATGTAGCAGCACTCCACTGCAAGTGAGGCTATTTGTCAGTCGATGTATGTACTGAAGCCCCCAGCAGCAGGCTATTTCAGTATGATGTCATCATGCTCACCTAACTCAGCAGTATAAGATATATTTATATATGTATATATATATATATATATACATATATATATATATATACATATATATATATACTATATATACATATATATTTTATATATATATATATATATATATATATATATATATATATAGTATATATATATATATATAATATATATATATATATATATATATATATATATATATATATGTATATATATATATATATATATATACATATATATATACATATTTAATATTATATATATATATATATATATATATGTATATATATATATACAATATATATATATATAAATATATATGAATATATATATATAAATATATATGAATATATATATATATATATAATTATATATATATAAATATATATGTATATATATAAATATTTATATATATATACATATATATTTATATATATATAAATATATATATATATTATATATACTATATATATAT